TATCTATGCATTGCTGCTCGATGTCTTGGACGTTGAGACCGTGAATTACATGGCTTGAAGGCCTCGGTTAGCCATATTCTCTTCAAGAAGATCGTCAAGAAAGGGTCTTCTACTCCATGAACGTGCTACCTACGGGCACGCTGTTGACATAATGGGCCTTTCCTGTAGGGTGGAGGTGTGCGAAGTCATCGTCTTCAGGCAGCCCAGAGTCTCCCCACACCAAATTTGCCAGCCGTTGTACGTTGGACTCTGAGTTGGCTTCTCGACCAGTCCATACTCCGTCTGATAACACTATCAGCGGATTCTTCGCCGGGCCTCGGTATGACATGATGCTGTGGTTTGGCGATAGCTCGATAATTATTGTCGAAGGAAGCTGTGCTAAAGTATTTGTGTGTGTGAATGCAGACTGTCAAAGATTAGCAAACTAACGAAAAGTCAGGAATCAGCTGCTTTTGTTGCATACGACCTCGAGGCGGAGGTTGTGGAATGCGTGCTGTTATTTGGACCTCAGGCAATATCATAACAGTTGGATTGGTGGTGTTTTGCATTCCATGGTGGAAACTTGAATGGCCCCCAAACCTGTTTAGACCACCACGTGGCGACCTGGATCAAGATATTGGGCGAAGGCATCAATAAGAACACATGGCTTTTGTCAGTACTACATGCATATGCTAGTGACGAATTCGATTGAGGTATAAAGTTCGTCTTTACGACTGCCCAGTGGCTACATTGACAAACCATACTGTTACCAAAGGTTACAATCAAACAAGAAACAAGGTCTGAACCCTCGACCACCCAGTCTCAAGGTCTTGCGCAACATAGGCCGCGTCAAATCGCAAAACCGCTAATTTCTACGAACAGCAATTGAGAAGATCTGACAACCCTTTACTCACTGCTACGGGTCTTGTTCCACTGTTCTTATACCGCGAAATTAGTCAGATACCGGCAACCGGAAGCTTCAGGCCCAAGCCGGCTGGAAACCCTCGGCGGCCTTTCGGGCTACCTAGATGAGTATGTCTCAGTTTCCGTGCTCTGGAATGCCGATCACTTGATCGCAATTTGACATTGGCGCTTTCCAGATTTGGCCGAAGATCTTCTCATCTCCCGGGAATAATACGACTGAATATGCCGCAATCGTTGTCTCCGGTGATATGCACGAGTCCCATCTGGATTAAGATCCACTCCCCAACCCAACTGGGCGCAGGCTCATGTTCCTCCAGTCGCCTTCCATGATTTCGCTCCCAATCATCACACCAATTTCGAGGAATTGCAACATGTCCATGTGCTTTGTGGCTCGCCAGTAGCCCTGAGAGCTGACCGTGGATTCCATGAGTACTTAACTAGCTGGGTAGACTTTGCGACTCTGTGAGGACCCAGTCAGATCTGTTTGCGGATCTTAGTGGATGCTGCAGGCTCACCAGTCACCAGTCATAGGGCGCTTGGTCTAGGGGTATGATTTTCGCTTCGCATCTCATTTCTCTCCTCCTGAGGACGTGAATAATTGCGCTTGCTTGTGAAAGGTCGTGGGTTCAATTCCCACAGTGTCCAAAGCTTTTGCTGATCTCAGACTGTTGACGGCAGTTACTTTTGTTCTTGACCTATGGAGGGAAAAAACAAGTGCTCACTCACCGTGCGACTTGATATGGCCTTGCTTGACATGTCTGAGTCCGAGATGGCGCAGTCGGATTGCTTTTGTCTCAGAGTTATTCTTAACTTTGACAAGTCGTCACGAACTAAAATACTGTGTTTAGTGAGTCTTCGGAGTTGTAATGGTTCGGCAATACTCGTTCGCTTGCTGCTCATCCTTTTGTCGGCCACAAACGAAGTCGTGTTTTACGGTCCATTTTATTGAGACTGAGTGGAATCTATCAAAGAGAATCCGCACCGATATAACTCACCTGCTATGCTGTAACACTGAAGTCCTCTGCTTGGGGAACAACGTTGCCTGCTATTATCCAGGCTGTCTAATGACGACATCTGACGTTGAGACTCGCATCGCTGTTTAGGTGTGCATTCATTGGACATGGTTTTGGACTGTTTGGGGTCTCGCTAGTTGTTGCCTGCAGACAGAGGCCGCCTGTCACCCGTCTTAGCGCTGCCTCAACCTGCATGTCAGCACGACTTTCTACAATTTGACACGTTATCGTTCGCCTACAGATGTATGCCAGGAATTGTGGCTGAGCAAATAGTACTGGCGAGGCACAGCGTGAGGCACACCTACGTGATATGTTATGGAGACGCTGTCAGTCCTTCATATCACAAGATGTTTCGCGAACACTCTCTGTCTTCTCATCTTCAGATTCAAGAGCAATGGCCGATCCACTTTCAATCACAACTGCTTGTATCACATTGATTGGCGCAATTGGGAAGACGACACAGGCTGTGACGAATTTTGTTCGAACGTGTCGCGATGCGCGCGAAGATCTCGCCGCTGTCAGCAGAGAACTGTCCGATCTGCGCATCGTGCTCGAGCTTCTCATCGACGATACCGCCACCAAGGCCTCCTTGCCTGCTGCCTTCGAAAAACACGTATTGGCCCTTGTCGGGAACTGTTTGGGTGTGACAACGGAGATCGCGGGGGAGCTCGAGAATCACGATGGCCGAACTGGGCCAGCGCGGTGGGCGATGGGAGGCAAGGAGACTGTCAATCAGCTGAAAACGATGCTCGAGACGCACAAAGGCTCGTTGAACTTGGCTCTCGAGTTAGCGAACCTGTAAGCAGTATTACCGCAGCTTTCATGTTGTTATCGAGGTTGGTGTTAATCATTCGCAGTGTATCTTCCAAAGCGATCAAGGATGATACCGTCGTCATTCGCAACGATGCAGGTCTGATCAAGGAAGACACAACGAATCTCTTGCGACAAGTCTCCGATGTCACTCTACAAATAGCAAGGATTCGCAAAGCTGTGGGCGCCAATCGACAGATCAAAGTCGCCAACAGCGATACCATTGACCTCTGGCTGGAATCCCTCACATCCCACGCTGAAAGCGTTTGTGGCGATTTGCTACAGGATTTGCCGCCAAACGCTCATGACCGAATGCTGCTTCCGGAGACCGAATTAGCAGGCAGTGGAATCGTCATCAGCAACGATACCATCGGAGACATCAGGCCGATGAAGGTTACCAAGGTACACCAACTCACGTACAACAACGGCATACACTACATCAGATCGAAGGGGAGTCATCTCATCGGTGTAGATGGAGTTTCCAACGTAGTCATATGGGATATACAGACCGGAAAGCAGTTGGGCACTCTGGACACCAAAAAGTCCCATTCATGGGATATTTACAAAATCAAAACAGCATCCATCTGTGGTCACGATTCAGAATACATCATACTGCATCAGTATAAAATAGGCGCCTCTCTTTGGGATTGGAAAAAGGGCAAGCGAGTCCTTGACGTATACCAGACTTACCAGGACTTTATCACACTCCACCCAGTACATCTTGACGGGAAAAGACTTGTCGTGTTCTGGCATGACAAACACTCTATATGGAAGTCAGAAAAGCCGAGATGGAAGCACGAAAAGCTGGCCGAGATTCCTGGGCAAGCAGAAATTAGCCGGATTGGAATATGGGGTAACGTCGCCGTCGCGCTGCTGAAAGACGGCAACGCAATCTGCTTGGAGACATTGACGGGCTCAGTCAAGGCCAAGAACTCGATCCTTCGACTTGGACAAGAAGACAAGTGCGACAACTTGGCGATCGGCCTCATCCTTATTCGGCAACCGGACGACGGACATCGTGTCTTATTCTGGATCCCAGATGTGCCCAATGGGTCTGTCATGGTCATTGCTTGGGACATCGAGAAAGACAGGGTCACTCACTCTCAATATGGAGGTTACGTGAAGCAAGAACATGAGCAAGGAAAACCAAAAGGCTTCTGGCCCACGGCGTTTTTTGATCGTGGTGCGTTGATGACACATGGAGAAGGCATTGACTTTTTCAACTTCGTCACGGGAAGCAGACGGAGATATCATAATCCATTCCCACACAAGAAAGAACTGGAGGTAGCGAAGGAAGTGTGGTATGGTTTATTCGGCCGCAAGTACCTCAAGGTTCCTACCAATTTGGGACGGCAAGCCACCGTCAGTCAGTTCGAAGGAAAGTACAGAATTGCCGTCAGGGCTCCTGGGGGAGGTGTAGAGGTGTGGGAATGGGAACTCGACGAGGCTTCCCTTGAACAACCATCAGAACAAAAGAATACGACAACGAGGTCCATTGGCAGTTCGACATTGGCAGCTGACTCATGATCTTTCGTGGATATTGAGATGCAAATTTTGAGTCTTGGACTTTCCGTACATCAAGTAAGCAAAATACCTTGTAGCTAATGTTGTGCCAAGACGAGGAGACATAACACCTTGTTGACCATCATAGACCCAAGTCAACCGCAGAGAACAGTAAAATGTAGTACAGGTTAGCCCCTCTTTGAGTATGTGACGCCGGCCAAGTTACGAAGATGAAATTGTGGGAATATCTCCGTGCAAAGTGTGGAGTCTATGATGGCTACTGGTGGACCACGACTCCATCATCATATCCGATATGGTGTAGTGGCCAACATGATGCCCTCTCATCTCTTTGAGAGGTTAGGCATAGCCCCGAGTTCGATTCTCGGTTTCGGAAATTGTAGATTTATTACTTTGCTGTTTACGATTGCATGGAAGCTTCTAAGAGCTCGGTATATTTTTTGACGCATGGTGCTTGTAATTAGGACTAAGTAGTCTTTACTTTAAGGTTGGAGTCGAGCGATGTTTGTTTTTGCTAATGTCTTTAGCGATCTCAATTCTTCCCTTCCTTTTCTCTTGCATCCACTTCAGAGATCTGATCAGGCCGGAGCAGTCTGAGAATAGCGAAGATGTGGCTCTGAACTTGCTCTAACTACAGATAATGGGAGCTGTGAGCGACCGCTTTGACGGAAAGCATGCTTTATTAGATGAACGCTCTGGAAGTGAGAAGTATAAAGCCAATTGACAAGATGTAGCCACTCATTTTCATTTGTATTATTGGAAACGCCGCTGGTATCTAGAAGTATATGACGAGGTGTCGTTCTTGGGCCCTCCTTTACCCTGCAACTCAACAGCATCGATGATGTAGTTGGCGCTCAGAAAATCAGCATCTCCTTTCCCAATCACCCCAATCACAAGTGTGTTCTGTCCCGTCTTGAGCTCACTCGCAGGTACTTCCCAACTATACACGTCGCCGAACCCGCGATAGGCACCACCGGTTATGCCGCGAGAGTCGATGAGTGTCTGAGAGTTGTGTTAGAATATGAGCATGCCCAAATGGCATCCGTACGGGATTGCCTTGATGATGATAACTTATCGGGGCCCCTGGATCCGCTTCTTCCCACTCGTTAATCTTGACACTAGGCCTGCCGCCTTTCAACGAAAGCGTCGTTCCGATGCGCAGAACGACCCCACCCAGTTGGTCGGGGGCCAGGTCGAAGTTGACGGTGGCATTACCTCCGATCTTGGAGAACAAGGCCATGGGGAAGTCTTTGGTTTGGGATGAGCCGACAGTGAACTCGCCTCCCCAACTTGCCATGCGAGAATCCGAGGGGTGCAGCCTTTGAATTTTGTCGCCATTCTTCAACTCAGAGGGTTGCCCATCAAACTCGCCGATACGCCAAATGACTGACGGCTCGGAATCGGTTGCCTCGATATCCTGTGTGGCTTTTCCGCCCGCCGTGATCGTCACACTGGTATTGGCGACAGGAAACTTGTTCCGGTATAGCCTCGTCGTATATGTCCCGGGCTTCATCAGTGGAGAGGTAAACTTTCCCCTGGAGGCCTTTGTCCAGTACTGCGCGTCCTGGTTGAACCAGTGTACCACAGCTTCGGCACTGCCTTTCATTCCTGTTGCCGTGCCTGAGACACTTCCACGCCCATTATCAGGGACGTAGCCATCTATGTTCAACGAGTCGAAGAAGCTCATGTCAACGTCCGCTGACGGCGGCCGAGTGCTGCTTCTGCGTGACTTGTCAATATGATCCTAGGACAGGTTGAGGAGGCGGAGAACACTTACGTAAAGCGCATTGCGTGAGGCGCGCGAGGCCAAAGAAGCCCGAATCGCCAAGGCTCGGTCCTCACATGGCCGCTGTTCATATACCGGTAGAGCTCTTGATCGTCGGTGCTTTGCGAATTGATGTCTTTCATTAAAGGGCCGCCAGCAGAGTGCTTGTAGGCATTGCCAGGCATGATCATCCACACCCCGACGTTCTACAATCGTTAGCTTCAGTTAGCTGGTGACTGTTCTCTTCATGGCTTACATCGCCTTTCATGCCGTGAACCTGGTCATCAATGAAACGGTCAGATGTGTACATCTTGCATCTTGTGGTGTCATCTAGATACTTGAACGTATCCTTGCCTTCAAATTCTACGCATCCATCGAGATCGGCAACGTCGCCATGCACTCCGGTCGGTACCTGTTTGCGCTTGAGCCGGGCAAGCCATCGCAACTAATCAGGAGCAATCTCACCTGTGATATGAGTCGCCATGTAGATGGTTGGGTCGCCTGGCTTTGCTACATAATAATGTGTCAAGGGTTGTGAGCTGGCTTTGACGGTGATCTTGACGTGACCGTTCAATGTGTCGGCTGTGACCGTTGAGGTTCCTAGACCGGAGTTGATCTGTGACATCTTGCCTGTGCCTTGAAACTGAACACCGTCGTAGAGCAGACTGGTAATGTCGCCATTTGTGCTTAGAATTCCCGTCAGCTTCCCTGAACTCTTCCAAGCGAAGGGTGGCTGATTTCTCATCTCCCATACCGGTTAACCTCGAATACTAGTCCACCGTTGGTGTCGATCGTGTAAGTACTGTCTGATGTTGTGAGGTCAAAATCGCCAAATGCCGTCCCCAAGAGCGCAGATACGCGACTAAGAAAGCCTAGGGTATACATCCTGAAGTCAACTGCATATAGGTGCTGACAGAAAATGACGTGAAGGACACGACCATACTCCCCGAGCGCGGCAATATTGCCTATAAAGCTTTTGACCTCAAGAACCCCTCAGTCGTAATGATCAAGCGGTCTGCCACGCACTTCATCCCCGCCATCTTCGGGCGACCGGGTGAACATGTCAGCGAGTCTTCTTCCAGTTCATTGTAGATTGGACCCCAAAAGTTTGTTCCATAGAAGCGTGTAATAGAGTTACGGAGGTTGCGTGTTCCTGCACTGGCCAATTCCCCTCATCATCGTCGTCCCCAAGTCTTATAACAAGCCCGTCCCGACGCTGATCCAGCAGGTGGCTTGTGATGCGATTGGTGCGAGTCTTCGATTCCTGAGCATGTTATCCTATGGCAACGCGGCAAATATGAGTTTACCTCAGTTTGAGTCTTACGAAGCACATTTTGTTCGAAGTATCACGACTGAACTACTTTACTCGAAACGAATGAGCTGACTTGATAGGAAACGGAGTTTGTTTTCAGTAGGCTATGATTGGGGCCTGAATCATGGGAAAGCCTCATGGTAAGACCTGTTTCCATGATAGGTACCCTCGTTCACATAGGTGCTCATACTTGAGTGGGCTAGGTTTCTTGACGTGTCCCGAAAAGACTCTTGCTAGAGACTTACTTTGATAGAGAGTAATCTTTCTCAAATATATTCCACAAGATCATGTGAAAGGCATTAATCATTCATGGGAGTTGTCATTTTCATGGAACGCTCAGCAATGAGTGAAGGGAAGGATCCGAAGAGGTCGCGCCTGCCACCGTCGCGGGTGGATCAATCGCGTAAAGTGCGCTAATGCAGGGATACGTACTGCCTCCCACAGGGTGACAGGGCCCCAGCTGCGCTTAGTCATTCAGAGCTCCACCAAGATTTCAGGACAGCTTCGCGACTCCTTTTCCACTTGTCAGTGCTTCCAAGGGCACGAGGATCGTCATCTCTTCGCCAGCTTTCCAGTCACTCCTTTCAGCCACGATTGCTTCTGCTCAAAGACAACAGCCGCGAATCAAATCTCGCACCATCAATCATATCGAGCTTCCTATACCATCCGCAAACATGACCCGCGCTCAGCAGACCATCTCTCTTGCGCTCCTCGTGAGCTCGGTACGACCCCTCCCTCCCTTGTGTCCAGAGCCATCCCACCTCTATGAAGCGTCTGCTAACCGTCATTCTTCTGTTGTAGCTCTACCTCGCTCTCTTCCTCCAGCTCATCCCGATTCCCGCCAAGATTCAGAACGATGTTGTCCCCGTTGTACGTAACCGCGATCGCAATCTCGAAGCAACCCCTGCGACCCGACCCAACCTTGCTAACCTGTACTCCGTGCACACAGCTGCCCTTCTGGGCCCTGATCTCCTTCGGCTCCTACCTCCTCGCCAAGCTCGGATACAATGTCATGACTTTCAACGATGTGCCCGAGGCGCACAAGGAACTCATGGCCGAGATTGAGGAGGCCGTCGTCGACCTGCGGAAGCTTGGTGTCGATGTGGACTAAGGGAATGGACGAAATTTCAAGAGACCAACGACTCGATGTGAAAGCCGACCAGGTGACATTGTAGGATATCTGGGGGATGTAGCTCGAGATTCTCAATGAAAATGGTGTGTCTCTACACTCGTGTTAATGTCAAGTTTTCATGACTGTATACTGGCACAAGTAGCAGCTATCAGTGCCTGGTGGACGCTTGATTATCGGATTCCCGTGACCTATCTATCGGCTTTCAAGTTGCTCAGGATAACTCGATGTTAGACCTAGACTTTCGATTCAATGAACACAGCAACGCCGCGACACGACCGTTATTGCAACAAGTCAGTCATTATGATGAGCCTCACGACCACGACCATTGTTTCCGGTGGCGCTCTAGACCCAAGTGGGAGTAGAATCGCTCATTTACGCGAACAGATCGAGGAGCCTGTGACCATTGCAGCATATTTTTCTTGGTGCGATTGAAAAGAGTTTGTTAGACATGACCGCCTTCCTCGCCGTTGATCTCGCCAAAGTGCCTGTCCGCCAGTGCAAGAAGTGCCCATGAACACCTGCTACCTAACGGCGGTATCTCTCTGGGCTAGCAGGCCTGCTATGTTTGTCTTTGCTCCGTCTTTAATAGCCGACATCTATCAGCTATACACGAGGCACCTTATTGAATCAAATGATAAGCTGGATGAAAAATTGCTTGTCTCTGGGACGTGTCGTGATGCCCGCCAGCTGATTGAATATGGACTAGAACTCGGCAAGCTGGACAACTTCCTTCCAGTCCGGAACTGTGCACTGTCATCCTGACCATACACGGACAACGGGATACCACTTCGAATGTAAGCTCACTTAAGCTTCGTTTCGGTGTACCGACGAGCGCTGACTGCTGACTTGGTGAGCTTGCTCTGGTTAAGAGCAAGCGCTAGAGCTCAGGGTCTACATCTTATTCCTGGACCCCAATAGGCGCTCCAGTCGTCCAAATGGCCTGATTTAGAGATGAGCCTGAAGCATATTCAAACCATTCGTCTGCTCGAACTCGCTTTCTAGCCTATTTCCATGCGCTAACAAGTTCATCTTCGTCAATTGTTGTCAAATGCTCTGATCCCTGCGGGGTGCGGAGGGGTAGCATGACGCAAATTGACCCCTGAGAGCAACGTCGGGCCAGGAGTTAAGCTTCCCGACTGCTCCACTCACCGATAAAGCTCCCAGCATAATCTTGCCGTTGATGACAGACTGATCATCCAGCGACGGACCCTCGGGCGGGGTGGCACAGGCAACGTTGGCTGAGCAGGGCGTCCGGCCGGTGACCGGAGCTCGGAGGAGTTTGCCGGCTAAAGACGGCATGTTGCCGAGAGCTTGAGCCATCTGCTTTCGCACAGCTAAGAAGTGAAGCATCACAGCAATCCCCGTGTCTCCAATAACCCGTTGACCAACTATCATCACCCTTTGCGAAAACATCGCCATCATGCCCGAGCCACCCTACCCCCTGCATCCCTCGGTCGTCGACCGCATCAACCCCGAGTACAAGGACTTTTACAACAAGTTTGTCTTCGATAAGCAAGTTGTTCACCACCAGCCCATCTCCGCGTCTCGTGCAAGCGGCACTCTGATCCCGGGCGCCGGCCCTAAGCTCGAGGTCGCCAGCTCAGAGGATTTCACCATTCCGAGAAAAGAAACGCGCGGGCCTGACATCCTCCTGCGAGCTTTCACGCCCTTGGGAGAGAGGCCGGCCAAGGGATGGCCACTATGCTTTTGGTTCCACGGCGGCGGTTGGGTCTTGGGCAACATTGACACGGAGAATGTCATCGCCACGCACCTCTGCAACCGGGCGAAATGCGTCGTTATCTGCGTAGACTATAGGTAAGTAGAGTCCCGTGGCACAAGACGGCACTGCAGCCTGAGATCCGAGTTGCAAGAGGACACACTAACCTTGACAGACTCGCGCCAGAGAATCCCTTCCCTGCAGCCGTCGACGACTGCTGGGAGTCGGTCCTCTGGGCCATCTCCACAAATGGCACCGAGAAGCTCAACCTTGACATCTCGCGCATCGCAATCGGAGGCTCATCAGCAGGCGCAAACCTCACGGCAATCATCTGCCAGCGCGCAACTAAGCGCCCAGACTTCCCGACCGTGGCAACACAGCTGCTCTCTGTGCCCGTCGCAGACAACACCGCCACAGTGGACTCGACGAAACCAGAGCACGCATCGTGGAAGGAGAACGAGTTCACCCCCGCCCTGCCAGCGGAGAAGATGATGTGGTATCGTTACCATTACCTCCCCGACAAGGAAACTTGGGCGCACCCCGAGGCAAGCCCGCTTCTGTGGGAAGGCGAGTGGTCCAAGTTGCCTCCTGCTGTTGTGGTTGTTGGTGAGCTTGATGTTTTACGAAGTGAGGGTGAGGCTATTGGGAAGAAGCTTCAGGATGCGGGCGTTGAGACGGATGTGCATATCATGAAGGGGCAGCCGCATCCGTTCATTGCTATGGATGAGGCTTTGGAAGATGGTAGGAGGGCCATCACGTACTTTTGCGACAAGCTTATAGAGATGTTGTGAGGGAAGGCTCTGAAGATATCACTCAGATTAAATGAGATTCAACAAAACAACGTCAACCTCATTCCTGATCTGAATGAGACCAGTCAAACTTCACGGAAGGCATGCTTGTTGTTGAGGTGATGGATTCATCGTGATAGATCCCCCTCACGGTTAATGCCGACATGGAAAGGATGCTTAACCACGGTCTCAAAGGCTATAGACGTTTCATTGCACCATGTTTCTTATCATACTTTTGAAATTTTCGAAGGATTTTACATCCAAAGTATTTCTTATTTCTTTTTACAGGACAGCTATGCACTCAATCTCCACATCGACATTTAGTGGAAGAGTCTTGACCGCCACGCAACTTTGCCATGTCAGTCAGCATTTTCGATGGGATCAACGGAGGCGCCACACTCACGTTCTAGACGGCTTGATGTCACCCCAATAAGTGCAATAAACTTCATTCATCGCAGCATAGTCATCCATGTCCGAGAGGAAGACGTTCACCTTGACCACCTTATCAATCGTGGTACCGGCGCCTTCCAGTACCGCGGTCAGGTTCTTGATGCATTGGTGCTGAAGTTTCCAGTCAGCGATGAGCAACATCGGTGTCCAATCGAGATGGCAGAATTGGGTTGCAGATTAGGGAGTGCTGCATGCACATACCGTGTGTGCCTGAACGTCACCGTCGATGATTTTCATTGTCACCGGGTCCATGGGAACGGCGCCGGAGCAGAAGACCATGCCATTGGCAATGATGGCTTGGCTGTAGATGCCGGGCAGGGGCTTGGGGGCCTTATCGGTGAGAACGGGGGTCTTTGGGGAGGACATGATGATCGGTAAGCGCGTATTTCGTGCTGGAATGGGTTGAGTTCGGTTCTAAATGGTGTGTTTTTACATGAGCACAAAAGTTGATCTCACTGCCTCTCCGTCGACCAACACGCAATTGAGATACCATCATGAAAGCTACTAGTCATTCACAAACCCCATCGATAATCCATCGCACTCATCGTGAGCGTCATCTTCTCTGCGATAGGAGTACCCGTCGAAGTCTCCGTTCTCGGATGAGCTTGAAATGCCCGCGGAGAGTTGCGAGGGATCGTCCTATCAACCCCGCAATCCTGAGGTGAGCGGGATTGCAACGTTTCAACACCCCGGATAGCTCACCCTTATCTTCTCTAAGCATTCACTTGTGGGTCGCTTCGGAATCGGATTTCTGTCCCTAAATCTCGGGTTTGTTTCTAATACGGCCATTACTCCATTCAGTTCCTATTACGAGATGTTCGCGCCTTGAAAGGTGTTGAATAGGAGTTGTACCCCCACGGACCGCTCATCACCGGCCTTCGTCGTGAGGGCTAGAGGCTGCTTGCACGGCGCTGCAGTTCTCGTCGGCTCGCCCCACCATGATGGAGTTGCTGCAAGCTTTGTGGATTGCGGGGTGCATATTGATAAATGGGCTGCTATGCCATAGGTCATCGGCATCCATCCTTATCAAGCCGTACACCTCAAATGCAGATATGGCATGTTTGCTTTCAATGGCACTCTTGAGCAAAGACTTCCTAGCAAGAGGTCCAGCACAGGATACGGGTAGGCCAAGCCATGCGCAGTGATTGAAAGCATCCTGACGTGGGAGCTAAAGCGGAGGAGTAATAGGTAGTTGACATCGAGCCCTAGAGACCTCCCGTGCGTGGTACCAGTCCTGGAAACTAGCGTACGTCCACACCAGGGTGTTCGATTTTGGACATCTGAGGTCGTTGCTTCTGTAGACTCTAGGTATCGTAACGCGATTCGTGTGGAGATTCAAATTCTCGTCGCAACTCCTCGCCGACCGTGAGCCGACATGGAGACTAGAACTCACCCCATCGAACAGTTCCTTGCTGACGGATGGCTGAGATGGGATACCCCGAAGAGAGCAGGATAGTGCGCGTGGTTGTATGACCCCGCTTGGAGTATCACTCTTATCTCTGGCCACCAACGAGCTTGTCTCTCATCTTTACGAACCAGCCACAAGGATGCTAGATGACCGGGATGAGAGATACGTCAATCAGGAAAAGGATACGCTGGATCAGCGAATGCTACTGCAGCACACTCCATCCGAAGCTTATGTGAGTCGTATGTGTCTACTAAGGCACGGACAGCAAAGTCCCAGTTGGGGTAACTGTAACCTTGCATTTTTCTCCCTCTCCCTCGCGGGTTGCACCACTTGAGTCTCCCAACCACGATTCTTGAACTTTCCTTTCGCATCGTTCCTGTGGTGTTAGCCATAAGGGCCCGTGAGACGCACAATGGAGGCCGCAAAGGACAACAAGATCACCCCAGCGACACGCGCTGAAGGATCACTTCGCGATGGATCCGTGGATGGCGAGAACGTCAAGAAGAACGACTACGACGACGATGTGGTTCAAGTCGTCGACAAAGCCGCCGAGAGGGCCCTCTGCAGAAAGCTGGACCTTCACATCTTGCCTGTGCTAGCCGTGATGTGTAAGTAGCCTCTCCCGCTCTCAATCGCCAGAGGGTGTGCTTGTAGTCGCTCACACGCAATTATTCGACCAGACCTGTTCAACGCACTCGATAAGGGGAACCTAGGCAATGCCGAAACCGACGGCCTGAGCACGGATCTCGGCTTCAAAGATGGCCAGTACAACCTCATCGTCAGCATCTTCTTCGTGCCCTTCGTCGCGGCCGCGCCGTTTGTGGCCCTCATCGGCAAGAAATTCGGCCCGGCCGTCGTCCTCCCGATTCTCATGTTCACCTTCGGCACGATGACGATGCTTATGGCTGCCGCGCAAAACTTTGGCGGTGTCTTTGCATTGCGATGGTTCCTCGGCATGGCAGAGTCGGCGTTCTTCCCACTGGTCATCTACTATCTCACCACCTTTTACCGTCGGGGTGAGCTTGCGCGACGGCTGGCTGTCTTCTACGCCGCTTCAAACATCGTAATTGCCCCTCTACTACCTATGACGTACTCGTGGGCTTCGTGATTGACATATCGTAGGCAAACGCATTTTCCGGTCTTCTGGCATTCGGCGTGTTCCACATCACCAACACCAAATTGCATCCTTGGCGATGGCTCTTCATCATTGAGGCCACTGCCACCATCTTGTTCTCCTTCTTTGCGTTCTGGTATCTTCCGCGTAGCGCTGCAGAGGCGAAGTTCCTTACCGAGGAGCAGAAGCGACTTGCCCACCACCGCATCCGAGTCGACAGCTCATCCGTGGTTGGAGAGAAGATGAAGATCCGAGAAGCAGCCAAAGTTTTCAAGCATCCGACGACGGTAAGCATCTGCCCCTTCTTCGGCTTCTTTCACTTTGACTTTCTGAGAAGAAGGCTCTTACTGATTTACTCTGACACAGTTCGGCTTTCTCGCCATCGAAATCTGCCTTGGCGTTCCCCTCCAGAGCGTTGGTCTCTTCATGCCCCAGATCGTGCAACGCCTGGGATACAGCACCATCAAGACGAACCTCTACACAGTGGCCCCGAACGTCAGCGGTGCTGCCATGCTTCTCATCCTTGCTTTCCTCTCGGATTGGCGACGACTTCGGTTCCCATTCATCGCCTTGGGTTTCATGCTCACGTTCATCGGCTTCATCATCTACGCTGCCATTGACGATGTCGAAGCTGAGATCAAACTCGCATACTATGCTTGTTTCATGATGACTTGGGGAACTTCAGCACCGAGTGTGCTTCTGTCGACTTGGTACAACAACAATGTTGTCAACGAAAATCAGCGTAAGTAAAAACCAAGAAAGTTCTGGTTCTCTGATAGAGACTGACATCGAGACTGCAGGTGTACTTCTGACTTCAATCGGTGTTCCACTGGCCAACCTCAT